AATAACTGATCCTTAATAAAATATTTGATCGCCTTCCGCCTTAGACAACGTATACGTATATAATCCTCAGGTGCCGTTTCATCTTTCAAAGGGATCGGTGATGGAAGTTGCACTTTAGATTCGATCGGGTCAAAACAAACAAAAAGGAAAGGTTACAAAATGAATTGGACATATAACCATAGTTAACTATGATATAACACATTGCCAGTTTTATGACGCAAGGTAATTCTAAAATAAAATATATCAAATAAAATATTAGCAAAATGGACGCAGTTGTAATTACCACAGGCAATTTCGCCAGTCTTCGCCTACCTGTTATATTGTTATCAAGTGGACATCACTGAGTGCTTGATTCTGTCTTGCACCAAGAAACAATCATGCGAGTTTTACGTTGACCAATTATAGAACAAAGTAACGACATTCAATTACAAGTTATCCAATGATATATTGCGTAGGTAATAATTTTTACTGGACTCCTTTACCCGAAAACAAACCCACTTTAATTTGCATCAGTCCTCATAAGATAACACCGGATCATATGCGTTTGTATGTTAATCATTTTCAAAATAAGCTAGCAGCAACTGACATTCTACAGTTGACATTCGGTAATTGATTCTACAGTCCATGCCCTCTCGTTGATTCCCAAACGTTTGTTGAATCTCGCTCGTGGCCTTGCTCGCCGCGCGCAAAGACATGTCCAAAACACGTTCTTAAACTCCCTCTGATAATTTTCACTAAACAATGCATACAGCACGGGTGTCAGCGCGCAGTTAGAGTGAGCGAAAAGAAGTCTAAGATATAGAATATTGCATGAGATTTTCACGTCATACGTAGCCAAAACGGCTATAATAAAGTACAAAATCCAGCAAAGAATGAAAGCAGTTGTTACTATAAGCACCATTCGAGACACTTTTTTATTCATCTCGGTGGCTTGCGTACTCTCCGTGGTGACTCTGTTTCCAGGACGACTTCTTCTTCTCAAAGAAAAGATTGTTGTTGAATACAGAGTAATCATGACTCCCATGGGCGTAGCATACATGCCAATCAGGTTGAATTTGTGGTATAGTACTGAGGAACCTGGCCAAAACGCTTCATCCAGAGAAAGGTTGCAGTACATTCTACCACATTTTTCACCCATTTTGTTCGCGATCGCTATGGGAATCCTAAGAAGCAAGGATATCATCCATGTAAGAGCGATTAAGTAGCGCGCCGCTTTGGTGCCGTTGGCCAAAGTCTTCAATGGACGTACAACAGCTAAGAAACGTTCACCGCTGATACAGATTGCAGAAAATATTGACACGCTGACAGCCGTCTCATGAATGAAGTACACCAGTTTACAGAACACCAACCCAGCTATGCCTTTGAAAAGCCATTCGTATCCTCTCAATAGAATGCCAATCACTCTCGGCATGTACACAAGTGTGATTAATAAATCGCTCATTGCCATATTCACGATAAAGAAGTTAATCGCCTTTCGCATAGGGCGACTTCTGAAGACGACAAACGCGACCAGAATGTTTCCAACCGTAGATACTAAAATAATGATAACGTAGGGAAGCATTCTCGCTATTCGGAGAGCCACAGACTCATTGTCGAAGCAGAAGCTTTTCACCGCATGTGTTTCAACTCCGGTGCATTCTTTATTAATTAGCCAAGTACTTTCATCTTCCATGGTTACGCGGTAGCTGCTGCTACTAGATCTGCAATTTCCGACAAGAATGAAATCATATCGATGTGAGAAATCGACTTAAGTGTCCCTTTGACGTTTTGTTTGAAAATTGCTTCCTAATGGCGTTCGAAAAAATGGGATGAATAATAATAACTGTCCCTTAATACTTCAAAAATGCAACAACTTCGAGTTACGCAACACGCTACTTATGTCAAGATTGACGTAGATGCAGCTGTTTACGGTAAATTTGTTGCCGTGGCGTAGCGCGTTTCGAAACGCTTAATTAACTAACATCACTTTTGTTACAATATAATTAAAAGTCAGACGTTTGTGGGTCGGTATAAGTCAACTTTGAAGTGTTTCGAGGCCGTGTGGAAGAAAAAAGCCCTCTAAATTGATCAATCATAGTGCACGAAGATAAACGGAGATAAAAGTAATTGCTTTTGTTGGTAGAAAAATGAAACCGAAAAAAAAGCCGACATAAATAAATTCAGTTGGGGGCATTTCGTAGGAGTGCCATGGGAGGTGCCTTCTGAGAAAAAACATACTTGCAACGCTGGATTTTTGAAAAGTGAGGGATAAACTTTCTATCACTTGGTGGCGAACTAATATTACCTTCCCTTCCTAAACAGCTTTTTAAAATTAGTTGCGGTTTTTTCAACTTTCCTGTTCTAATTTTGCGTTGATAAGCATCGTAGTGTTTCATCTGCCCTCCGATAGGCGGCTACAGTCTCTTAAATACTATCGGCAAAAAAAACGTCCCCAGAAGAATGGGATATCTCTTTCTAAGAAATAACAACGTGGAAGGTTGCGCGAAAAATTGAAAGGGAAATAGCGAGAATTTATAACTTACCGTAATGAATGAGACGAAGAGCTTAGCTAGGTTCTTTGTTATATTTCCTATGTGTGTGGGAAGATTTTGAAAACACGATTTGTATTCAAATGGAATGGCTTTAAGTGAATGACGCACTTTAAAAAGAGAAGGAGTCGATTCAAAATCGTTGTTCATTCATTAGCACTTCTAAAACAATTAAAAGGAAACAAATGATTAAGAACAATCGAGGATAAAACGAAGAATTTGGCAACAAAGCTAATTTTGGGTTATTTGCGGGCAGCGATGGAGAAAACAACCCTCCAAATAAGCCAATCTCAGCACACGTTGTAGCTGGAAGATTAAACTAATTTCTGTTATTAGCTGAATTAAAAAATAAAAAGGACATGAAGGGTAAACAAATGTAAATTGAATAAGAGGCATTTCATAGGAGTGTCAGAGGAGGTGCCTAATTTTCAATGCCGAGAGTTGAAAAACTGAAGAAAAAATTTCCATTTTAAGCGATACTCACAATGCCTGTACTTTTCTCCACTTAAGGGCTGCCGATGGAAACTTAAGCCTTTCAAAATTTGTTACAATAGTTTAAATCTACCTGTTTCAATTTCGTCTTCATAAACATCCAAGTGTTTCTGATGCGCACTTAAGACTCTTAAAAGCTACTGGCAAAAAAAAAAAAAAAAAAACATCCTTAAAACTATGGCAAACCTCCTTCTAAGATATTACAATGAGCAAGGCGAAACCAAAAGTCGAAGGGGAAATCGCAAGCTAGGATCTGATGACTGAAGAGACCAGGTTAGCTAGATTTTTATATGTGATAGCTCCTGTGTATGAAAAGATTGCGGAAAACGAGATGGCTTCATGAATCACTTCGAAAGGAGAAGAAGTCAATCCGAAAACCTCTTTTTCATTCGTTAGTATTCTGAATTCAATTAAAAGGAAACAAATGATTTTAAAAAATTGGCGATGAAACGCGAGATTTCGGCGATAAGGTCAACTTTGAATCGTTTACGAACTACCGGAAGAAGTGACGATTCGCTGTATTGACCAATCACAGTGCGCGTAGTAGCAGAAAGATCAAAGTCATTTTTATCATCAGTTAAATTATGAAAACTTAAATGCAAACAAATAATTTCATTGAGGGGCATTTCGTGCGAGTGACACGGGAGGTGCCTATTTCAATGTTTCACCAGCGCACCAATGCATGACAACAAACCTTTAAAGCTATCGGCAAACAAAACAAAAAAAAGGGAAAAAATCCTGATATTATGGCAAACTTCCTTCTACGATATTACAATAAACAATTGAGCATCAAAAATTGAAGGAGAAATGGCGAGGATCTACAACTTACCTTACGGACACGGAATACGAGGTTAGTCCTTTTTATATGAAGATTTTTGGGAAACGATTCCTATTCTACCGGATTGGCTTTAAATGACTGGTGCACTTCGATAGGAGAAGTCAAGAGTAAACTTCCTTCTACGATATCACAAAGAACAATTGAGCATCAAAAATTGAAGATGAAATGGCGAGGATCTACTTACCCTACAGACCGATAAAAGATAAGATAAGAAAGATGTTCCCATCTGATCTCCCCTAAGTCTATGAGAAAGATTTTGGGAGAACGATTCCTGTTCTAACGGAATGGCTTTAAACTGCTGCACTTCGATAGGAGAAGAAGTCAATTCGAAATCGTTGTTTACTTATTAGAGCTCTCTCAAACAATTAAAAGGAAACAAATGATTAAGGAAATTTGGCGATGAAGTGCGAGATATCGGCGACGGGGTCAATTTTGTATTGATTGCAAGTTGCCGGCAGTATACGACCCGCTTAATTAGCCAATGGCAATGCGCGTTGTAGCTGAAGTAATGTATGTAACTTTATTGGTTTTACAATGAAAACAGAAAACGGAAAAGGTAAACATGAATAATTTCAGCGAGGGGCATTTCGTGGGTGTGATAAGGGACGTGTCACCTCGCAAAAGGTATATTTTCATCGCAGAAAGTTAGAAAAATGGGGTTAAAACGTACTTTTACTAGACAATACTCACAATACCTGTGCGACCAGCCGTTGGAATTTCCTTGTTTTACTTTTGCGTTGATGAACAGCTATACAAGTATTTCTTGCGCCTGTCGAAATATGACAAAAGGCTCTAGACAAGGGTGTGCAATGCTCTTTCTGTTATCGACCCTAAAAGTTCTTAAAATCCCGATTTCTAAGAAAGAGAAAGAGCTATCATTGATTTGTCGTTTTCAAAAAGGCATGAAGAGTATCAATAGCTTCGATTCATAAACTGTTGATGCTTTTATACAAGTGATTGATGAAGGTGAACACCGAGGTCAGCAGAGTGATAAATTGACCCAGTTTAATTGCAGATATTTCAATAAGTTGGTGCTGACTGCTCAAAACAAGGCTGAAATCTTTCCTAGTCAATTAAGCCTTTTACGTTCTCCAAATTAAATGTAAACATTGTGGAAGATGGAAATGGGTAGCAATTCATACACTTTTCCTAAAAAAAGCGTGGATACGATAAAAAATGAATTGTTTTTTAGCGGCCCAGGTTAAATGAAGCCGAGCGCTTCGAACTGGCTGACAAATTGATCATTCGAGGAAATGAAATATTCTATTTTTGGAAACAATTTTTGTTCTGGTAATCAATCTTTATCTGGCGAGCATCAATCTAGCCTTTAAAATGGACATTCGGCATATAATTAAGCTTCGCAATGGAAAAATGAAAGAAAATACAATCTACAGAAAAGTCGGGTCGATGTCTTTAATATTCAGATCTGTTATTCTTCTTTCCATATTCAAATTCACGGAGAAGAAGCCAATATATTTCCTAAAAATTAATCAAGTTTCTTTAACAATTAGGCTAATACTCTGGCAGACGAGATTCTTCATAATCTACTTCAAGTCGATTACTATCGTTATGGCCCAGAGAAAGTGTTTAATTGAAAACATGAACTAAATTTGAGGCTGCCGGGTCGTGTTTATGGACTTTTACATTCTATTTCGATCATTCAGCTATGAATTATTATCAGAAATAAATCTCGATCTAACTCTGTTTTATCTAAAGCTTCAAGCTGTGTTTTCTTTATATTCAAGCGCTTCCTTCGTTCACTCAAACAATTCAGTTTGATCTTCTTGTTAGATGTTGGAGCGAAACCACCAACAGTTTTAATAAAAAACTCGAATGTATTAGAGTTAATTCATGAGAAACTTGATATTGTGAAATTAAGATTGAATCTGTTTTATTTCAGTCAACCATCAGTTTTCACAATTAACTTGCAACACTCTGTTTACTTTTACTACTTTTCAGAAGCCCGGCTTCTTTAGCATCTGCAGACGGAAAGCAAATATTTGGAAATTGGTCTCAACTGCACTTTTTTCAGTTTGCAACCAAATTTTGGTAAATACTCCCTCTCATCCGCGTTTCGTTTACTCCTGGTTTTTCGTATTTGTGCACGATCCTCGCAGTAAAGAGCATTTTTTAAGCAATAGTGAAAATCAGACCTGAAAAAATTCAGGCCTCTACGGAATTCGAACCACTGACCTCTGCGATACTAGTGCCTGGTTTTTCGTAGCTTTTTTTCCTTTCACAATTTTTTTTCCTTTTTTTCGTCGCTTTTTTCCTTTCACAATGTTTCGAAGGTTTTCCACAGCGCTGTTGGAATCGCAAAGCCAAGCAAGGCACATATCGTTGCAAAATAAATTAAGGAAAATATTAATTTAAAAGATAACATTTCTCAGGCAAAGTAGTTTCTGAATAGGAAAATAAATCTGGGACTTACCTCTTTTTGTGAAAAAAAGGAAGGAACTTCTGCAGTTACCTTCTTGAGTCGAGTTTTGAAATAACGACAAAGATTCCCTCCCTAGGCACTATTCGAAAACTTGCCAAAGAAAAGTCAGTTGCGATGTTTCATACGCACATATGTTGAAGCAATGATTTCACACGTTATCACTGAAGACATTTCAAGCGCCTTTTGATG